AAATCTTGAATTCTAGGAAACAAATCCTCAGAGTCAAGTGTTTTTCCAGTTCCGTTGAGAAGCTAGGCCATTCGTGGGGATTCCTGAGCATCGCGATCATCTCCTTGCAATCAGTTTCAAATCTCTGACATGGCGAATGTTGAAGCATATTTTTCATTGCCCACCGCAGTGCCTCCAACTCTGAATGCAACGCAGACTCCACTCTATGAAAATTACGCAGCCCCATTAACTGGCTATTTCCCGAGCTATCATTCCAAACCCAACCGCATCCACTGAAAAGGTCAGTAGAAGTCCAAGATCCATCCACCAAGCATATGTTACCCAGACTTATGGCTTGAGTTTCCTCTACTCCGTTCCCTAGGGATGACAGTATATCTTGCTCGTTTGCTTGGAACCAGGCTTGACACTCACTTTCTGCATAACGCGCTAGCTCCAAAGGGTCTCTATCAATACCTCTGAACAGCTTATCATTCCGAGCCTTCCAGATATACCAAATTAGCCAGGGATAAGGATCCCTATCCAATTCCAGTTCCATTATATAATTTTTCCTCCAGAAGAGGTAGTCCATGTTCGCATATATACTCTGAAGTGGAAACAAAGAAGGACTGGTAGGCGTGGATGATAGGGCCCAAGCTTGCAATGCAGGTGGACATTCGAAAATTGCATGTGCAATTGTTTCTTCAGGTTCCCCACAGCGTGGACAGTGGTTATCACATCTCATATGTCTATAATTTAAGATACTCGTAACAGCCACATGACATGTTATTAATTGCCACATAAGATGGCATATTTTCTGGGGTGCCTTGACCTTCCAAGCATGTGTTTGAAGCTTTGTGAAGCTAGGTTCACATACAGAATAGTCCTCTTCCTTCATCAAGATATTTTGTGCTACCCAATATCCAGATTTAACTGTATATTGTCCATTCCTTGTATAGCTCCAGCAATACATATCACGTCGATATGCATAACTAATGGCCATGCTCTTAATGAGTGGTATCTCTGCGGCTGCTACATAATTTTCAACGCGGCTCTCATCCCAAGTCTTTGTTGCTTGATCAATTAAATCGATTACTCTCATATTCGGATTCAAAACTGGCACATATATAAATTTTGTATATGTATTATTATGTGTTTTATATGTTAGATTCTAAATATTTGTAGATTCAACATAGTGTGAGTGTTTTATTTATTATTTAAGTAATAAAATAGATTTTTTGAAGTTTTTCTCTGTTTAGATGCAGGTTCAATGTTTTGTGATATGCATGTTTTTCAAATTTGAGCCAGACTTTGGAAAAAAATCTTAGAAGACTTCCTGAAGACTTCCTGAAGACTTTCCAAACCAATAATATCTAACCTAAGTGAAGTCTAAACTTATGTATAGGAATGATCTCAATCTCAATATGTTATAATTTTGTGATGGTTTGATTTATGATTAATATGTGTACTTTTTTAAATGTGATTTTTTTTTGTAAATTTAAAGAGATGTTAATGAAAATAATTTATTGAATATGTTCATGTTTACGATATATATTATTTTTCCAAAAGTAATTAACATTATTGAAGTTATTGATACAATATAACAAGAAATATTTTAATCAAGATACTAAAACTAAGGAACAAAAAATCTCAAGAAAACTTAGTCAAATTCACAAAAGATCAAACAATACATAAGTCCCACTAGAAAAAAATTTCGGAAGAATTCACTAGAAATCTTCTTTTAACATTATCAATAACAGAAGACGTCTTAAAAATCCTAAAAAATTATAATTAAAAAACAAGTTAAGTCTTCTATCAGAAGATTTAAAAAATTTAGAAGTATATCTTATAATCTAAGAAGACATAAACCACATGACTTTTCATACTTAAAGTTACTTAACATTTTTGAAAGTTTAAAACATATCTTGAAGTTATATAATATTATTGAAAATGCAAATTTAACAAAAACGAATGTAGAAAACTTCCACATAAGTTTTCTGAGAGAAGAATTCTTTCATTAAGTTTTCCACTAAGTCTTAAGTCTTCTCTCTTAACTAGAAACATTAATAAACATTGATGTTTGTAACCTTGTAAGTATCACCAATTCAGCTATAAGTTCCATTCAGGAACCTCAACATTGACTTTTATACATGAATTAATTAGAAAATAAGATCTTTTTAATTTAGAGAAAATGAAAGTTTATTAAACATTAATGTGGAAGACTTCCACGAAAGTCTTCTCGGAAAAAACTTCTATGGAAGTATTCTTGACGTAGACTTCCATGGAAATCTTCCATTTAAATCATTTTTGCAATTGAAAATTAACAGAGGAAGACTTCCAGAAAAGTCTACTCTACAGCAGACTTCTAAGGAAGTTTTCCATTGTAAATATTAACTTACTTTTGTAATTCAAAAGTTCTCAAAAATACCAGAGAAGTCTTCCCAGATAAACAAGTAAGTTTTGCAATTGGCCGAATTATGTCAGAAAATTTGACTTTTTACTGGAAGTCTTCTCAACTTTTACATGAAGCCTGTTCACAGTCTGTGGAAGTCTACATAGGCAAATTTTGCAATTGACTACATTTGCATTTTATCGAGAAGAGTTTCAGATAAATCTTTTACTCGAAGACTTCTTTGAAAGTCTTCTCTCATAACTTTAGGTTTGACTAGAATCATAGAATAAAAATCTGAAAGATTTCCAAGTAAATCCTTTGGCAGAAGACTTACGTGGAAATCTTCTAGTTTAAATTAAATGTTTAAGTTTAAATTTTTAATTGCAAAATTAACCTACAGACTTTCACCGACAATGAGCAAACTTCATGTAAAAGCTAAGAAGACTTTCGTGCCGAAAGACTTACCCGAAAGTCTTCTGTACAAATTCAAATTTCTGACACAATTCGGTCAATTACAAAACTAACTTGTTTATCTGGGAAAACTTCACTGGAAGTCTTCTCGATTTTTTTTGTGAACAAAGAAAAGTTGGAAGACTTCTACAGGAAGTCTTCTCTAAAACACACACAGAAAAATTCAATTGCAAAAATAACCTATGCTTTGACCAGAAGACTTCCACGAAAGTCTTCTCTATCTACGTAAATATTCTACGCAAACAGATCTGAAAAAAAATGAATTCATACCTTGAATCAGTGAGATAACTTTCTTAGCTTCTTCAACCACACAGAACTTCACCATGAAAGCTACCCACTCTTTGATGACCAAGAATCATGAGTTTAAATGGATCTATGAACCTTACAAAGTTTAGAATCAAGATCTTGGGGATTTTTGGATGAATATAGAGAGAAAGTGAAAGATATGTAGTTTGAGTGCATAATAAATGAGATAAGATGAGTAAAAAACGATTTTTGGGTGCATTAAGCGATTCAAATTGGTTGTTCATGGTAGCTGGTGAATTGATGGCAGTGGAAATATTTTAAATATTTTATGAAGATGAGGATAATAGAGTAAAACCCTCATTTCAAAAAAAAAACAAATAGCATTATCGTGAATAATTTGAACTTCTAGAGTGATATAGAGCAAATGAAAGTTCTAAAAAAAATCATGGGTTAGTTTTGCATTTGACTTTTTGTTTTGAATCACTTTTGCAAAACTCCCAAATAGGCCAAACCATTAAAACCGAACTGATCAATCGAACCGAACCCAGTCCGATAAAACCGGTTCGGGTCGGGTTCGGATCTTGAGAAATAACCAAATTGTCACAAATTTTTGGTATAATGGGTTAGGGGTCGGTTCGGGTAAATAACACCAAACCGATTGGATATATGGGTACTCAAGAATCGAGTGACCTAATTCTATGATTTCATTGTTTCCCCTTTTCGGTTTCCACTAAACTTGTTAAGATTTTCAGAGAACTAGAATATGATGTTGATCATTGCATCAATCAATGATACGAGGAAAAAGATATTTTATACGAACTTTTGCTTTGAGAAACTATATGGGAATGATAGTATTGAGTCCAACGAAATGAGTGCTTTTGTGCTTGATCTCCTTACAGCATGTTCCAGGAGTATGCTAGCCGGTTTAAAGGTGATAGTACTCAATCATCTCAAACGAAGAAAACACCAGCTGTGAGTGTTCAGGAGACTCAAGAGCAGATGGATATGCTGAAGTTGGTTGTTGAAGATTTTGGTTATGAGAGGATGGATTCTGAGTACAAAGAACTAGCTGCTGAATCAGGAAATGAGGCAAGGGATGATCTAAAATTTACTTGAAGGAACCTGTTGAGAATCAGAATCTTATGATGGGATTTGAGTTCGACATACTTGGTTGGTGGAAGGTGCATAGAATCACGTTTCCGGTTCTGGTAGAGATGCCTAGGTATCTGCTTGCGATGCAGGTTTCATCAGTGGCTTTTGAAAGTGCTTTTAGCACAAGTAGTAGAATTTTAGAACCTTATAGGAGCTGTCTAACCCACTACATGATAGAAGTTTTGATGTGTAGTGAGCAGTGGCTGAAGGCTGATATTAAGTTCTATGAAAACGTTCAAACAAATGCTAGACAAGCTTGAGAAAGGTATGCTTTTATGTCTCTTAGTTCTTTTAACATTTTATTTGTTTGTTTTTTCACTTATTGTTTCAAAAGTTTGAGAGTGAGAATTGAAGACTGAAGATTGCTCTTGAAGTCTGAAGTCTTTTTGTTTTTGTTTTGGTGTTGGCTTTGATTTTTTAGTTTCGGCTTTGGTCTTATTCGAGATGGGCTCTGCTTTGACAATTGCTTTCATGTTTTATTATTGGGAAAATTTCATAACTACCACTTTCACACTAACACTTTTCAAATATACCACAATTTAATTACACTTTTCAAATATACCACTTACATTTAATGACAAATTACAAAACTAACCTTAGCTATTTTCTTTTCTATCGTTGTTTTCTTTTAGGGTGAAATAGGAGAGAGGAGGTGGAGGAGGTGCGGCGGCGGAAGAGGATCTGGTCTGATCGGAGAGTTCGTCGGCGGTGGGGATGAGGAATTAGGGGGAGGAGAAGGGAGACTGGATTAGGGGCGGTGGGGATGACTCAAAGTCCTTTGATCCCGTCGAGGTCTCTGGAGAGATCTGTCTCTGGGGGAGGAGGACAGGCTTAGAATTGGGTCAAGGAAGAGCCTGGAAGAAAACAATCTGAGAGTGAAGCTGTGGATGATATTTTCAAGGCGTATATGAATCTTGATACATTGATGTTTTGAAATCTTCTTTTGGAGGAGGTAATGAGGCTGAGATGGAGAGAAGACCAATGGTGGTGGAACCCGTAGTGACTCGGAGGGAGAGAGCTGTGACAATGTGAAGGTGGTTTCTTCAGGGGTGAAGAGGAGAGCTGGTGGTGACATTGTTCCCACTGGTATTAGACACTACAGGAGTGTTTCCATGGATAGTGGTTTCATGGGGAAATTGGACTTTGGTGGTGATGCTTCATCATCGCTTAAGCTTCAGGTAAAAGCTTCATCATCAAAACTTTATTTTTAGTTTCCGTAATTAAAATCACTCATCACTGTGTGCTCTCTCTTCTCAGAGGGTAAAGTTCCAAAGACATGAAGAAAAAACTCCTCTGAATTTATATATAACAAAAAGCTCTTACCTTTATATCTCTCTGATGGGTGGTTTAATCGATTTGAACGTGACTGAGGAAGAAGAAGAAGAGGAAACACTCTCTTCGGCTTCTGGGTCTCTCTCTCCTTCTAATTCATCTTCATCAGCGTTTGCTCTAAGTGGGTCTTCTGGTGTTTGTTTGGAGCTGTGGCATGCTTGTGCTGGACCCCTTGTCTCTCTTCCCAAAAGAGGAAGCTTTGTGTTGTATTTTCCTCAGGGACATTTGGAACAAGCCCCCGATTTCTCCGCCGTGATTTACGGGTTGCCTCCTCACGTGTTCTGTCGTATTCTTGATGTTAAGCTTCACGTATGTCTTTTTATTAAAAACCCTCTTTGTGTCTTTTTTTAAAAAAAAATCATTTGTTTGAGTAAAGTCTGTACCTTTACATTTTTTTGTTGTGGTTAGATTTTTAATAGGCAGAGAGAGATAGTGATGAAGTTTATGCTCAAGTCTCTCTTCTTCCTGAGTCTGAGGTGAGTGCCTTTCTTTTAGCTGTGAGTGTTGGAACAAGAGAGAGAGATTGCTCTAGTTTAGAGATTGTTGTTGCAGGACATTGAGAGGAAAGTGCGTGAGGGAGTTGTAGATGTTGATGGTGGGGAGGAAGATTATGAAGTGTTTAAGAGGTCTAATACTCCACACATGTTCTGTAAAACCCTCACTGCTTCTGATACAAGCACTCATGGTGGCTTCTCTGTTCCTCGCCGTGCTGCTGAGGATTGCTTCCCTCCTCTGGTATACTTATCCACTCTTCAGAAACTAAAAACATTACACTATGTGGCTTCTGTACATTGCACATTATTATTCAGGATTTTAGTTGTTTTTCTTTCTATAAGCTCATAGTGAGAGGTTTAACTCCATAATGTAGGACTGTAGCCAGCCCCGGCCTTCTCAGGAGCTTCTTGCCAGGGATCTTCATGGCCTTGAGTTGTGTTTTCGCCACATTTATCGAGGTAAACTTGTTGCATTGTGTTGCCTTCTGGTTAGTAGTTGAAATGTTTATAATGGTTTTGAGTGTCTAGTAGGACAACCTAGGAAGCATTTGCTGACTACCGGGTGGAGTGCGTTTGTGAACAAGAAGAAGCTTGTCTCTGGAGATGCTGTTCTTTTCCTCAGGTAATAAGAAAACTTTGGCTTTTATTGTTAAGAGGGTCTGTGATATAGTGTTTTTAATTTAGAGGTGATGATGGCAAGCTGCGTTTGGGAGTTAGAAGAGCTGCTCAATTTGAAGGCGCTTCTGCTTTCTCGATTCAGTAAAATCAGAATATGAATCACAACAGCTTCGCTGAAGTAGCTCATGCCATATCTACCAATATCGCTTTCAACATTTACTACAACCCCAAGTAAGCTCCTGCATTTTTTAGTTACATTTTCAGGATCACAATCAGCCTTAGTTATGTATTGTTCTTGTTGTTTGCCTCTTGAAGTTATTACAATCCAAACTCAGTAATATATGATTTTTGCACTGATACTTGTCTAATGAAATTACTATTTGGTAAAACAGTAAAACCTTTTGCAGGGCAAGCTAGTCAAACTTCATAGTCCCTGCACCCAAGTTCTTGAAGATTGTTGACTATCCATTTTGTATTGGTATGAGATTCAAAGCGAGAGTTGAGTCTGAAGATGCCTCTGAGAGAAGGTTATAGCTTATGTTTCAAGAGAACTTAACTACACCTGTGTTTTTTATTTGCTCATCTCTCTAAAATGTTTTGTTTTACCTGTTTTTGTCAGATCCCCTGGGATTATAACTGGAATCAGCGGCTTGGATCCTATCAGGTGGCCTGGTTCTAAATGGAAATGCCTTTTGGTAAGCTATGATATATATAATGTCACTTGGTTTGGTTTGAGAGATGACCAAAAGGAATGTTGCTTGTGTCATATAACTGAAACTATGTTTGACTTCATATTCAGGTAAGGTGGGACGACAAGGAGGCAAACAGGCATCATCAGCGCGTCTCACCTTAGGAGATTGAACCATCTGGTTCAGTCTCCAATTCAGGCAGCTTCATAACAACAGGTCCTAAAAGAAGCAGGATTGGCTTTACTGACATTCCTGTCTCTGGTAATACACATCTCAGTTCTAACAGATTAAATAATCTTCTCTAGCCTCTTCTTTAACACTTTCCTTTTTTTCTGGATTCTGTTTCAGAGGGGATCCACGCCACAGACTTTGAGGAATCACTAAGATTCCAGAGGGTCTTGCAAGGTCAAGAAAAATTTATGAGAAGAGGCTCTGGGGAAGGTTCTCCTCCTCTGAACTCCACAAACACCTGCTCAATATAACAACGGCACCACAACATTTGAGTAACCGGCTTTTATATATATACACAAGTACAATGAGGAAGTTTTACTTGAAGAAGAACCTCCACCAATATTTGGATTATTGTTTACAGTGTTTCTTTGTTTCAGTTTATAAAACTAACAAGAGTTTTACAAGTCCAAACTCTGGTGGAGCTAGATTTAAATGATTTACAAAGCTTTATAAATTAGTTTATGAATATTAATAATTAACTTATAGAATCCAGTAGATATTTTATAAAGTGTTATAAATTAATTTAGAAACCTTTATGAATTAATTTACACACTCTTGTAAATTAAAATAAAATTTCTTATAAATTAGTTTATAAGATTTCATAAATGATTTACAAAGATTTACAAATCCTTTATAAAAGTTTATAAATCATTTATAAGATCTATTAGATTAATTATAAAGGGTTATAAATTATTTATAATGGTTTATAAATCATTTATAAGGATTTATAAATCATTTATAAAGGTTTATAACTCATTTAGCTTGTGATCTACAATAAGTCTTTTATTTTTATAATAATAAAACTAAACAAAATTTGAAATTTTCTACTATTGAATTAGTATTTCAAATAATTCTAACGGGAGAGATGATGTATTTATGTTGACTGTTACCATAAATATCTTAATTTGTTTTCTATCTAACTTTGGAAATTCGCTTTCTATTTATAAGGGTTTATAAAACTATTTATAAGGGTTTATAAAACCATGTATAAGAATTTATATAACCCATTTCTAAGAGTTTATAAATCCATTTACGAGATTCAACCAGCTTTATGTGTTCATTATGTGTTCGAAGAAGAGCAAATGATGCTTTCAGTGCTAAAGGCAGACATTATATAAAATCATAAATAATAGTTTTATAAATCATAAATCAATTTATAAATATTTATAAAGTTATAGACATACCTTGTGTTTGATCCATCTTTCATTTTATCTATATATTCTTCGATGGATTATTTGTGTTTGCAAGAACGAAACATCTATAATGATTAATAAAACTATTTACGTGTGTTTATAAGAGTTTATAAATTCTTGTATGAACCGTTTAAGAAGTTGATAAAAGACTTATAAATATTTATAGACTATTTATAAAGGTTTATAAAACTATTTATAAGGGTTTATAAAACCATGTACAAGAACTTATCACCCATTTATAAGAGTTTATAAATTTTTTAGAAGGTTAATAAATCTATTTATAAGGATTTATACAAAATACAATATTAAAAGAGTTTAATAATCTTCATAAAACAATTTATAAGAGTTTTCAATTAGAAGAGTTTATAAATCATTTATAATTAGATTTACTCAATGCACTTTTAATGTTTTTCGACTCGTATACGGTTCCAACGCATCCTATTCACACACATTTTTAGAATATCAAAAAACATGCTCTTCTTAAAAAATCAGAAAATTATAGAATCTTATATAATGTTGATAAGTTTTATATAATAGATAACACAGAAAAAAATCAAACTATAAACTTTTATAAATCATTTTATAACACAGAAAAAAATTCAGTTTATTCTATTTCAGTTTATAAATATTTATAAATTAGTTTATAGAACTTGTAAATCCATTTATAAACCATTATAAATGCATTTATAAATCCTTATAAATCAATTTATAAATTCTAATAAATAAATTTATAAACCCTTATAAATTAATTAATACAATTTTATAAATGTGCAAAAACTTGGTATTTCATTTTTAAGAATTTAAAGGGTTTGTATCATTTATAAACCCTTCTAAATCTTTTTTATAAACAGATTATAAGAATATATAAAATTATTTATAAGGGTTTATAAAATTATTTATAAGAATTTGTAGAAATTCTGAAGATAATTCAATTATAAAGTCTTAAAACATTTTATAAATGAAAGGCTTATAAATCATTTATAAGAGTTTATAAATCATTTATAAGGGTTTATAAATTATTTATAATGGTTTCTAAATCATTTATAATGGTTTATAGATCATTTATAAAATCATTTGTAAATTATTATTAGTTTTTTTATAAGGCTTTATAAATTATAAACATTATTTTAAAAGTTTAAAAATTATATATAAGGGGATGTTTAAAACCGCAGAATATTAGTTCATAAGTGTACATTCCAATTTTTAGTAGAGGAAGTTGAAGCTATGTCCCTCCCAAATTTCCATTTGAAAATGATATGAATCATATATGTAAATATGTAATTGCTTATAACCTACATATGCTTCAATCTGTTCAATCTGCAGTCGATAAACAAACACCATTGAAACTTTACAACTTAGTAGTTTACCTAAGTCATGTATTATGGGACATTTAAATTATGAGACTGAAACGGAACTTTTTCTACTAAGTAGTTTACATTTGATCAATGATCCAACTTACTTTATTGATATGTATGAAAATATGGAGAGTAAGGTTTTTTTTTTTTTTTTAACTCTTCGTATCATTAATTCAGGAGAGGAGTAATGACTCCATCGGACAAAGTTTGAAAATAACAAAATTAAAACAAAACATAGGGAACCAATAGGACCCATACTGAAACAGAAGTAAAAAGCACCAGTAAAGCCATGAGCACAGGGGAGAAGAGGAAGAAGAAGACCAGACCACAGAGGGGAGTTATCTGAAGCATGGCCAATATCACGAATCCTCCCTTGCATCCACTAGGGTCAAAGCTCTCAGCCAAGAAGTTCCACCGCGCTCTATGTACGACTGATATCATTGATCTCGTGTGACGCTGAGCGCTATTTCATGAGCACATCTATTGCCACCAAGGGGAACATAGGAGATGTTCCATAGCCTGAACTTACCCAACTGGAACTGAATGTGAGCCAACAATTCCTGGTAACAAGGGAACTCCTCAGGTCTCAGGATTGCTTCGCCCGCAAGGTAGGAGGATGATTCAAAGACCAGGGAAGTAAGGTTTATGGGTTGTCTTCTAGACCGTAGTTGTACACAATCTCGATCTGCATCAGTCACACAAGAAGATGAGAACTTGTGAATAAGAAAGTGAGGTCAGAACATGGAAGTGATAAGAGCTAAGAAAAAAACACATTAAGAAACTTACATGAGCACGGCCCCACTGCCTTTTACTTTCTCCTGATGCATTGGACAATGCAGACGGTTCCTTCATAGCAGAAGCCACATCTGATGTTGATGAGTTTTTATCCACACATTTTGAGACCTCGCCAGCTTTCACATCTGATCAGAACCTTTAACCAGGATGCTATCATCCTTTTTTGAATCACCATGCCGTGGTAGTGAAGACCGGTTAGGGCGAGATGAAAGCTTCTTAGTGACTTGAGGCTTCATACTTCCTTTTGGTGATTTGGATTCAGAGCTTAAAGTATCACTTCTCTGCAATATGAAAAACACAATGGCCAAGTAAATATGGAGTGAAGAGCAATAGTATCATCAAGTCTAGAATAGATTAGTTACTGAACCTTAATAGAGGACCGTGCTTTGAGGTCATCAGGACTTATGTTATTGCCATGATGGTCCACCGAGGCTTCACTCTCACTGTATGATCCTTCGGATTCATTTTCATGGTCCTCTTCCTCATCATGAACTTGTGAATAAGAAAGTTGTAAAGTGTTTAAGGTGCTTCAATCTGTTAACACAAACACATTTTTGTTAACGAAAGTTAAAGGGAGTTACTAAAGAACTTTGGTTTCTGTTTAGCAAAATAAACGAAAGAGAGACAGAGACCTTGACAATTTGGCCAGGCTCCCTCTCTTCACGGCTCTTCATGTGTTTGGTCTTGAGGTTAACATATTTGATGACAATGGTGCTGTTGTGGGTGAAGATCTTAGTGACTTCTCCAACCTTACCCTTAACGATTCATATAACAATCCAGGCGATTTCTCCATGAATCAATCAAACCAACAACCTAATGGATTCTATCTATCAAACCAACAACCTTCACGATTCGTAGAACAATCGGATTCAAAATCATCAGATCCATTATTCCATACACAGATCCATCGATTCATTAACAAATTGATGGAGAGAGCGCGAGAGAAGCGTACGAGTAGGTTCCGATGACGGGAGCGAGGAGGAGAATAGTGCTGATCCAATTCTCAGAGACCTTGTGGTGGATCTTCTCCGGCAGATCCTTCCATAGACGAGTCATAACCTTCTGCTGAAACGGCGACAAAGCGTACACCACCGCCTTCAATTTCACCGACTGCTTTCCCAATGTCTTTGGAAATCGTGTTTACCGATGACGGCTAAGACTTCGCTGAGCTGGCTCTGGATTCTATGGGAAGAGGAGAGCATGAGGAATACGATTAGCGTCTTGATCTGCTCCTTCTCGGGAGGTGTAATCGGAGAGATGGAGGAGGAGTCGTCGGCGGGAGGGAGCCACCGTGAACGTAGGTGGATGACTTAGTTTTAGGTTTAATTAGTTAAGGGTATATAAGTACTTTACCAATTAAAATTTTAGCGGTAAAATTGGTTAAGGTATAAATAAAATATGGTATCATGAAAGTGCTATATTTGGCAATTTCCCTTTATTATGAACAAGTTTGATTTATATTGAAATTTATTAAAGGTTATTTGGATTTTTTTCTTTTCAGTATTACAAATTAGTTTTGGTACTTCTAATTTCTTTGTCCACGTTTTGAAATGGTTGTGTTATTCAGGTTATTTGAAGTATGTTTAAGGTTGTGTTTGCAGGAGAAATGGGTTACAAGATAATGCTGAAACTCTGCTTTGATTAGTCTTGCAGGTTTGGATCATGTTAATAGAGTCTGAAACTGTACTACTTTTATTACTATTGTATGTTAAGCGTTACAGTGTCTGTAAGTGTTCCATCAAACAAAAATGTAGGTGTACAATTCTAATAAACTTGTACTTCCGGGTGAAATGAAAACTTTTGGATAATATGAGTAGTATGGATACCCGAAACCCGGTTCAGAATCGAACCCAAAAATTATATGGTTTCAACCGGGTTTAGGATGTGCTATCAAACCCGACCAAAACCCGAGGAAACCCGAACCGAGACCGACCTGAATTTTTGTAATAACCGAATGAGACTGATTTTTGTACATCCAAAAAAACCGAAACCCGATTAGAACCGACCCGAACCCGAATGGTCACCTGATTTCCCAGACCTACTCCCAAAAGAAAAGCAGAGAAAGATCAAATACATAACAATATTTAAGTCACAGAAAACAAATGGTTATACTTGCATTGAAAAAAAAAACAGAACTATTGCCAATATAAAACACAATCAGAATTAGAAACTGAAATCCGATTCATGAATCAACAAACCTCTTGATGAGATGACAGGAAAGATCTTTGAAACTAGAGATAAATGAGAAAATATTTCAGAAATGGACACGATACGAGAAGATAAGACGACGTCTTAAGTTTTTTTTCTTTCAAAATAATAAAAAAATTAAGATATACTCCATTTCTTAAATTGTGTAAATTTATTAAAAAGATATGGGAAATATATAGTGTAAATATATTGAAAATAGTTATGTAAATTCTGTAACGATTTTTCTTAATGATTTTATTAAGATTTGGGAAAAAGAATGAACAATTTGGTAAATATATATATACATGAGTGTATTTTTCCAAAAACTTAAGCAGTTGTGTAGTTTTCAAATCCCTCATATACTAATTCTCGAGCATTACAACATATTTGGTAGTCATGTGTCATCATTATGTTGATTCTTAGAATCTTTAGAAAAATAAGTTGGTACATCTCAATATATAGTATACTTTTTATTAAACTAACTATGCAATTAAGTCTTAGTGTATAAAAGAATATTCTCCCTTATCTCCATCAAAATAAATTAAACAATCATATTAATAATATAATAAAAAAATAGATTTTTTCTTCTATGCTATATTTTAAATTTTTTTAAATTATTATACATTACTAAAATTTTTAAAAGTCAACATTGAAATTTTGTGATCAATGATTTAATTTTTTTGTTATAACTAAAAATAAATGATCATAAATTCATATAAATATGAAATCTCTTTAATATATACTCAGAGTAAATATATATATATATAAAATACATAAACATGTTAATTTCAAAATTTTCTTTGAGTAGGAAGCATCGGTTAATAAATATTCATATAAATAAAATTAATACTTTTATGGTAACTATAAAAATATTAGTTAAACCATCTGAATACGAAAGTCAATTAATAAATATTCATATTAAAGTATATTAGATAATTTTGTTAATATCATTTAAGTTTAATTATATACCATATAAAATAATTAATTAATAATTTTTATTTTTTACCAACAAAACAATATTGTAAATACAAAGAGGATGATTTTTATTTTTACTTCAGTTTAACTATATACGTAATAGTTACTCGCTTCTCAATTATTCAATATACTTTTACTGCATAATACGAAGTAAACATAAAATAAATAATAATATGATAAATTATTTTTATATATAATTAATGTTCATTCCGCGAAAACACGACTCTCAAAAGTTATTTATTATTTCAAAAATATAATTTGTTATATCAAAGTGAGATGGTGAATTTTAAAATCCGGATATGAAGCCCAATGTAAATAGGTTTAAAAATCAAAAATATCAACAAATATTACCCTACTCATCAACTTTTTAGTGATGGTTAAAGTTATGACATGATAGTTGAACGATCAAAATTAGTATTCAATGATTATTAATATATAAATTTCACCATGCACATATGCGCGGGTTATCACCTAGTACTACAAAAAAAAGAGATGACATACATCACTTAAATTGTATAACAAAACTAAATGATTCAATTTTAAATTACTTATTTATAAATGATACAAATATATATAAATTAACATCAGTTATAGTAAATGATGTTATTATAAATTTAATTGGAATCATTCAATAAAGTGATACACTTTTTATTAGTTTGTATCATTTTTAAAGTTACTGATATTATTATATATATTTGCATTGATTAAGTAACTGATGCATTTATTTTATGGGTTAACATCACTCACTAAAGTGATACAAAATTTTGCATCAATAAAAAACTGATGCTAATATAAATTCCGTTACAATATTTTCCTTTAATATTAGTTTAACAAATATGATGTTATAATTTTCTTTTAATTTTCGTCATTTGAAAATTTGTTCTAATATAAAACTTATTAAATTATTGGAATTTTTTAGATAAACCAGAGATTACAATATAGTTAAGATTTTTGTGGATTTAGTTTATTTTTCTTGTGGGTCTAATTAATTAGGTTTTGTTCTTAGCCATTTCATCTCCAAAAAGCATATTCTCACTACCCCACTTCCACGTTCTTCTCCTCTCTCATTTTTAAACTTTGTTGCACAATATAACTGTTCTGTTCACTTCTTTGATTTTTTTTTTTAAAGTTCTTATACGAGTTATTAGTGGCGTGAAGCATTTTCTCTTATATGATGCTGATGATTTTGTTTTTTCTTATGCATGATTTGAAAGTAAACTAAGGGTTGTTACGGAATTTGACGGGAACAAAATTGCAAAAGGTATTATTTCTCCTTTGACTTTAGAATAGCTTTCTTGAGATTTTGATTTCTCTCAGTCATACTTTCGTTGTTTAGGATTTCTTATTTAGAAATACTTGTTTAGAGATATAGATTTTACTTATCTCTCTTGCTTATTGATTTGTTTGGAAAAGCTATTGGTTTAAAACTTGTAATCTCATGTTGTCATATTGGATGATATTTGGTGTGAGCAGTTTTTGAAGGGAGAAGGATTGAGATGGATAACATCATGGACTCATTGAACAGACTTTACGAAGAAGGTTTTGTTATTGCCTCATCTAATCTTCTCGAGTCGAAAGAGAGGCTGGCGGGCAAAGGCTTTTCTCACTAATGATGCATTAGATTATTTCAAGGAGAGGGGAACCACGGGCATGTGATAAAGCTTAGGAGGCTGTGAAGGAGATCTGAGTGCATGATTGATGAAGCTACGTGAAAAATGACTGATCAGGAGTTTATAGAGATCTATGTATATGATTTATTTTTCTTTCTATGTCATACAATAAGAAAAATTATTAATGAACTTTTTTATATATTTTTTTCTGGTAAATTTTTATATCAAATTAAGTCCAACATCAATTATTTACAGTTGATAAATAACTCATGTAATCAATCATTCGAAATTATAGAATTAATTATAAACTATATAATTATTAAAATCATTTCTCAAATTGATATTAACGTTACATCAGCTAATAGTAAATGATTTAAATAATTATAATCAATTTGTTTAATTGACACTAATACAAACATCATTTATAACAAATGATGTAAATAATAACATCACTTTTACCAACTGACACTTACTAATATCACTTAAAGTAATTGATGGAAATATTAGCTATTTTTACATCAATTTTGAACAAACTGATACAAACTATTTGCATCACCAAAAACTAAGTCATTTTTGTAGGTGATGTAAAAGGTTTTTACATCATTTATAACTAATACAAATATAGAAAATAAATAATTCAAACTAGTCTTTTTTTTTTTGTAGTGTCGTTTTCAGAATTGTGATGTTTGGAAGCATGACGGAAACACACGGTTCATAGATCAAAGCGTGATGGTCATTGATCAAAAGCTTGACAGTGGTTGTATTATTGATGTGTAAAAAAGATGGAATTATTCTTGTGGGCTTGCAAAATTTAATTGATTTATAACTCAATTTAACTCATTTTATTTTTTAAAATCTTAATTTATAAATTAAAATAGAACTGAATATTAAAAACGTAAATATATTCCAATATCCAATTTTCTGAATAATAATCTAATTGTACCTTTTCACTTATTCATTTTGCTTTATGTTATTTATATTATCAGTTGGTGTGTATGGAATAATTAACTCTCGTATTTTATTTTATTAGTTTCAAAGCAACTATACATATGATTTTACCCATGTTATATTATATTTGTTCTTTTTAATTATATATATTGTTTATTTGAGTTATAGTATATGAATTTTGTACTGAATTTTCTTATTTAAAGTATTTTTTCAATATATATATATATACGCTTCCAACACGTATCAGTTTCCTAAATAATTCTAAAATTGCGTTTCCGTGCTTTCTACCACTTCCGTATACCCGCTTCCGTTTCCACGTAATATATGTTTAATCTG